GGTTTTAGTCCTGGTTTAGTCCTGGTTTAGTCCTGGTTTTAGTCCTGGTTTAGTTCTGCTTTAGTTCTGCTTTTAGACCTGGTTTATTCCTGGTTTAGACCTGGTTTAGTCCTAGTTTAGTCCTGGTTTAGTCCTGGTTTAGTCCTGGTTTAGTCCTGGTTTAGTCCTGGTTTAGTCCTGGTTTAGTCCTGGTTTAGTCCTGGTTTAGTTCTGCTTTAGTTCTGCTTTTAGACCTGGTTTATTCCTGGTTTAGACCTGGTTTAGTCCTGGTTTAGTCCTGGTTTATTCCTGGTTTAGACCTGGTTTAGTCCTGGTTTTAGTCCTGGTTTTAGTCCTGGTTTAGCACAAAATGTGAAAACAGGAAAATACCACCATGTAATCCATTAATTTCAACAAAGTAACTGTAATCCAATTACCTCTCAATGAAACAGTAACTGAAACGGAATACAGTTACTCATAATTTGTACTCTGATTACGTAACTCTGGTACATGTAATCTGTTACTCCCCAACACTGTGTGTCGTATATCAGTTGTTGTTACTTCCTGTAGGTGTGGTCAGCCTGATGAACCTGGCAGGTCACTTAGACTGACCACGCCTCCGGTTGCCTGGTGTGTGAAAGGAGGAAGACAAAGAACTGTGTACCCTATTTTACCTTTTTATATTAAACAAGTTGGAAGAAGTAGGGCATCCAAAAAATATAACTAAAATAAAAAAAATATATTATAATAAAATTGGTGAGTAATGTGATACTGTCGATATTTAAAGGTGCATTGTAACTTTTCTTCTTCTTTTCTTCATGAGCATGTTACTGTTTTGTCTGGAATGTTTCACAGTATGTTATTAAACCTTTTTATCTTCATGGAGACCAAACCAAACCAAGTTACAGGTCAGATCTGTGGAGAGGCGACCCCGCTCACAGCCAGAACGCCTGTTTTTCTGGGCATTTTGAGCTATAAAAAAAAAACTGTAATTGTGTAAATGTAAGGTAGAGCTGTTTAATGTCATACTGTGGAACATTCCAGACAGAGCAATGACATCATAGAAATGCTTGTATATGGATGTCAGCATTTCAATGTAGCCTTCCATTTTGACCAAAACAGTTACGGTACTCTGTTAAAATGGCGTGAGGATCGTTAAGCAGTACTCAGGACTCAAAACAGACAAAAGTGAGGCCAATGTAGAATGCACTGTGTCCCACGAGGAAATGTGCCCTTTGCAATTGGCCAACCCTTCTATAGCACTGATGGAACCTGTCAGGACTCAACATTCTGGTATTTAGAGAAAAGTGTATATGAATGATTGGCCGATAGCAACTCCAAACTCACAACCTCAAAACCACCTCCCGAACCACTCGATCACATGTACAAACTACGGCACATTCTCACGCCTGACGAAAACAGCAGCTCCTTTCAAACCAAACCGTAGTGTGGACTGATGAGTGTCTGGAGAGAGTGTGATGTTTTGGAGTGAATGAATTAACTGATGATTTTGATAAAGGATGAGGATTTTAAGGTGCTGAGAGAACTCTGGGTGAATGACGATACAGAATTGTTATGATGCTTCCGGTCATTATCAAGACATTCTCTTTGTACGTTTCATTTTATGAACTATAACATCAGCCTGCCCAGGGAATACAGGTGGAAATGAGCTCTAGTGCTACAACCTGGCACAATGCATCTCTCCTTTTAAGGTTAATGTATATTGTGCACTGTCCCTGTTTCATTAAGTCAAGAGCGTAAGTTTGCATAGGGACGGTGGGGACATGTCACAACCAATATTTGGGGAAGACAAAATACCCTGTCCCTACCAATATTTGCCATTTTAATTTAATAAACACAAATATACATTTATTCCGATATTTTTCCAAACTTTGTAGTATTATTTAACATGTTTTAGTTCACACTTTGTTTATTAGACGTTCTGAGATGTGTTCAGTGATATGGTCGCCTAAACCGGGGAAGCGTCAGGACAGGGCCAGCACCCGACGATGGCGACTTGAGCAGGTGTGAGTGAAGACCATAAACCATATATATGAGTGGACATAACTAACGCTGTAGCCACCGCGTGCCAAATAGGAAGTTCGTCTGGAGGCTCTTCCGGCTCCTTCTGATTCTGGCTCCAACTGACTTACATTAGGATCTTGTCATTCCTCTCTCTGTAACTGCAGCTGTGAGTCTCATATTTTTGGTCTTAAAATGTTCATACTAACCCGCTCTACATGATCCAGATTTTTTTTTCTCGCTATTTTGTCCTTCAAAAAAATCCTATTCATAACATAGAGCCTGGCTCCAGATTCGCTCCTGTAACCGTGAGCAGCGCGAGCCTCATTCAAGCGGCACTGAACGTGGTTGACATCACACTCCCTTTGTCCACTTCTTTTATACAGTCTGTGTTAAAGGCACTGTGCACCAAACTTTGAAAAACTATTCAAAAGGAACTTACTTGCCTTCATCTTCAGTTAAACTTGTCTTATAATGAGTCGCAGCAGAAAAAGAGCGACTATCACCACAAGTGCACCTCCTCTACTCATGCAACTGTGAGCAGCCCGACTCTAGTGACAATATTCCATGGAAAAATGTTTGGACATGACCTCACAAATATCTCATCACCAACAAGCAACGGGAAATCTGCTACAAACTTCTACATCGCTGTTATCTGCTAAAGAATCGTCTTAGAACAGGGATGGGCAAACTTTTTGACTCGAGGGCCACAAAGGGATCTAAAATTTGACAGAAGGGCCGAACCAGGGGCAGATGGATGGAGTTTTTTGGCAATCCACCTCATAAGAGAAGAAAAAAACATGGGATATGTAGAAATTATGTCCCATGATATTAAAATATCCCATAATTGAAAATCATTACAAAGCTCTACAACAAAGTATGTCTCTTTCAAGTCCCATTGTATTTACTATTTATTGAAATTACTTTGAAAAACACTGAAAATTATTATTATTATTTTTGTTCTTCAAGGTCGGCGGGCCGGATTAAGAAGATTAAAGGGCCGCATATGGCCCCTGGGCCGTAGTTTGCCCACCCCTGTCTCAGAAGGACAATGGACACAAACTGTACATTTTGCAAACTGAAAAATGAAACCACCTCTCACTTATTTTGGACCTGCCCGGACTCTGTGTGTTTTTGGAATGAATTCATAAAACATAGTTCAAACTAAACTAAATTAAATCACACAGGTTTGAGGTTTAACCTTCTGTCATTAGTCTGTCTGCATCTCCACAGCTCAAAACGCTCTGTTCCACCTTGTGATGTCATGAAGCGATGAAGTGAACAGCTCCTTTTATATTTTATTCAGTACACACTGGCAATCGCTGTCTGGAATCTTCCAAATTATTCTCGTAAAGTGTATGGAGTTTAAAAACACAGTGGAGGACTTCTTGTATTACCACATGACATCATAAGGTGGAACTGAGTGTTTTCAGTTTGAGAGAAGAACTCAGATATCTAAATATGCAGGATTTGTGTGTTGAACATGTGTGAATGAACCAAAACAAAACACAACTCCAGGTCTGTTTGTGATGAGGAAATAACATAATATGGATTTGAAAATAACGTAATATAGGCTGTATAATGTATAGATTCGGCTGAAATAAATAAACGTCACATTTAACACTGTTTTTTGGTTCTTATGCACTTAAATTGCGATCATTTAATGAAATATTTTTCTTGACATTCGTCATCAAAACTGGGCAGATGCGAGTCATGCCAGATCATGCAAGTCATGAGCTTTACAACCACATCTTCTATTTGTGCTTCTCTATTTCTTCTGGGAAACTGAAACTCAAATATTTCAGTTTAACATTGTCTGACCTCAGATAATTATCAAACCTGCTGCAAGCCTCAAGAAACTGGCCACAAATTAGCCAATACCACATAGCAAAAGACAGTCAGTGCATAGGAATTAAGACGCGAGAAAACTGCACGACTTATGGAGATCTAATTACACTGGCAGTAAAACACTCGAGTATAGGGATTAGAACTAACTAGATAATGCTTTTTGCCATGCTAGTACGCAGCTCACGTCACGAGAAAATAGGCCAAAATGAATAGGAAGTTATTACGCGCAGAGAGAGAGGGAGAAACACAGAGAAAGAGAGAAAGACAGAGAGAGAGAGAGACTTTTCATCACAAAGACAGTGTGCTTGGAAATGTAAATAGATACATGAGAAGCTGTTTCCCCGTGATTTGATTTCGCTGACTGCCACTAGGTTCGTATTTGGCGTTTATTAATGAACGTTTATTGATTTTGGCATTTGCTGCGGAGGAGTTTGGAGTCTGTGCGGGGTTAGGATCGGTTTGAGCAGCAGGGGGCGCACCTCTCAACCTTTTCAACGCGTGGGGGATTTCTGGCAACACAACTTCTGAGTTAAATTGATATATTTGAGTCCTTTGGCGGTCGCTGACATTGACTAGAGTGAACATTGCGCAGAATGTTAAACGCAGATAAGGTAAACGCAAGAACCATAATCCAATTTAGTGAAAATGTTCTTGCAAAAATTGTTAGAAATTTCAGTATTTTAAAGTGAAGACCTTTTAAACTGTATTTCTATATTTTACTTGTGCACTTAAATGTATATAATTCAGCTTTGGCACCATGCAGTCTCTTGTTATCTTGTTATCGCTTGTTTTTTATTTTATATTTTTGCTTTTTTATTATATTATATTGTGGTTCGTGAGCTTCTGTGCCCAAATAATTTCTCTTGTGGATCAATAAAGTTTGTCTAAATCCAAGTCCAGCCTATGATTCATCCAGTCTTGACATATTTCATTTAAATCACCACGAAAAACTGTGTAGAAGCCGTGCGTAATTTCGATTCCACCTCGCGTATTCTAGGTAAATTTGCCTTTCAACAAGTAGTTTTCCCTCCAGTCCAGGCCTCCCCTCCTCTCTCTCCCTCTCTCCCTCCCTCCTCTCGTGCTGTGACTGGTCCTTAATAGGCTTTGGGGAACGAGCAGGTCCACTCTCTGACGCTCCCAGACTGATGACATCACCAGTCACTCAGCCCCGCGCACTCGCCAAGGAGGAACTAGTTGGAGCAGCGGCGGCAGTTCATTACGCGAACTGCTGGAGATACTGTAGCCGACTCACCTGTGCGCACTCACTGCCACTAGGAGGACGGGAAGCACCGGGAAGCTCGCTCGATTTCAACCCGCGTACGAAGAAGACAAGACGCTTTGACCGGGGGGGACAGTCGACTCCGCGGCCGTATCTCGGACCTTCCTGTTTTGTTTGTTTGTCCCGCACGACGCGCCAAGTTTTTATCACTAAAGGAGCGAGGAGATTTTAAACCAAAAGTGACTTGTAAGATATCGCGTTGTTTTCACTGTACTGGTTTTGAGAGTAAAATTCCAAAGAGGACAGCGTGGAGGCATGGAGGGACACGTTCGTCGATTTGGGTTCGGATGTGGGAGAATGGTCGCGTTGCTGAGCCTGGTCGTCTTCGCTTTTGCCCACGGTAAGTCTTCTTTGGCACGCTTGGAAACTTCTCGTAGCGCCGCTTCTCGTGTCGTTGGACGGCTTTACAATGCATTACGCGCAGAGGTTACTAAGCAGAAGCCAAGCGCCACCTGTCAGGGAAATATTGGGAACGGGCTAAACACAGGTGCACTTGCTCTGGCGTTGCGTCACAGCGCGTAAATAGTTGTAAATTCAGTTCTGGTTGCATATTTCGCTTTGTGAGTTGTGATTTATCGTCTTCACTATCAGTTCTGCACTCGTTTCATTCTTTGACTCGAGTTTCGGTCAGTGACTCAACGCCATGTTTAGTTTTTTTTAAGGTGTGGCTTCATTTTTTTTTTTCTTTTTTTTTTTTGCCTGGTTGGTCCTACCTGTTCGTGTTATCACCGTATCTGCTGGAGTTTTATGTTACAACGCCGGTTTCTATTGAGTCACTCGCTGCCCCATTTAGCCTACGTCCTTGGTCCCTTTTCCCGTAAGGCAGCGCGCTTCTCGGGCTGTCTGTCTGTTCTTCCTTCTGTCCTCACATCATCTTTGATTAGTTACACTTCACTTGCGCAAAATGGCACCGCGAGACCGTTCTTAATGTACAGAAATTAAACCACGGGTCAGCTTTGGCACGGATGTACCATTAACCATTAACCGTGCGTAATTGTGCCATTTTAAATCTATAGATGCATGTTAAAAAAAAAAAAAAAGTAGTATTTTGAGCCAAATTCTGTCACAAAACTTTGATGATGACTTTGGAACATTTTATTAGACATCCCACTGTGAGCTTCATCACAAAAAACCACAGGATTTCAGCTCCAATCACGGTTTTATTTTGATTTAAAACTGTCAATCACTTTTTTGGCAGAGAGCCGTGTTGTCAGTGTCAAAGCTGCATCTTCATCTACAGGTGTCACAAAACAATCTGATGAAAGGTTTGTTTGGATTTGTCCCATATTTCTCACAAACCTAAAGGTGAACTGTGGAACTTTTCTGGCAGGGAGTCGGCCAACCTTTTGTATCCAGAGGTCTCCAGGAAGAAAGCTGACACTGGGGATCCAAACTAATAAACAAATCCATAGTTTTAAACATAATTATCTCGCTTATATTCGATCACACAATAAAACAGGAATAAAAATACCTCTGAAAAACACAAACAGAACATGTCCGGAGAGCTGACCTGTTATTTGATCATGTTATGTCACTCTGTTGTCTCCATGGAGATAGTTCCACTGTGTAACTTCTCTGGTGGAGGGTCCGACATTTGCTATATGTTCCAGAGCATGGCATAAAGCAGATACATCTCGCATTTATTCAATTATAGGATTTTTATTTCACAAAACGACCACATAAACATGCATTCTTACAGTGCGTGGGCCCACTTCTCTACAGATCTGACCTATAACTTGGCCTCTAACTTGGTCTCCATGGAGATAGTTGATTAAATACTAGGGATGTAATGATATTCAAATCTCTCAATACAGTATTTTCATGATATACATCCCACGTGATGATATTTATTGGGATATTTTGTAAAAAATGTGTAAAAATGCAGCTTTTTCCTTTTAAAATTTCTTGACAAGACTTTGCTCTGCCATTAAGCAAAGAATTAAGATTTAAACGTGCTTAAAAATGATGATTCTTATTATTATTTTCATTAGTTTTCATGTAGCCTGCACTGTAATGGAGCAAAGGATCATGGTCTATGTAGTTCACTCATGGTCTATGTAGTTCATTCAGTTTTTTTTGCTGCACCAAAACAATAAATTTAAGCAGAGAGACTTGTAATTTGATATATGATGTTGGCCCACGATATTATTGTAAGAACTTTTGACCATATTGACCAACATACCTTGAAAAAACAACTATATGAAGCCAAGCAGATGGCGGATAGTCTGATTCATCAGCCGGTTTCACATCGTGGAAACCGTCTGACCTCACAGCACTAGGATTCGTTCGCCAAATCCCGTAGGAAGAAGGGCGATAACGTCTTTCCCCTTGATAAAATGCACCAAACATTCTCTTTGTTCCGGCTTTAAATCCTCGATCTCATGAATCGTTGCCAGGAGAATTTATGGCTTTGTTTACATCCATCTCGACCGCTTTGTTTACTGGCACTTGAGTTTGACGTCACGGCTTCACAGCTCTTCCCTGACCTTTCCTGCGTGATCTACAACTTCCGTTTTTCTTGCAAATCGTCTAGTGTATTCTGATTCCTGACCTAGTTGCTGGAGAGAAATGAAATTGACCGAACCCTCCACCAGAAAAGTTACACAATGCACCTTCCACATTCCAGACGAAAGCATCTCCAACACCAGAAAAGTGACAGTTCTCAGAGCAGCTTATAAACACAATGAAGTCAATTAAAATATTACCAGCAGCTGAAAGTGAAGGACGACAGCTCATTGAACCCCTCCCATTTAAGCCTTCTCTATTGTAAATGACATGTTTACACTAAAAACAAAGGAGTGGTTTCCTATTACAGTATTAACATTTGAACAGGTGAAATTTGAGGTGTTTTCCAGAATCCGTGTATCATTTTTTGTTCATTTGTTTTTCCAATATAAAACCAAAAATAAGAAAATGAAAAAAAAATCTAACAGCTATTTTCTTCATTATTTCTCTCCAAAACCAGAATGAAAGAACGGATAATGATTTGTTTTTTTCTGTTTTCGATTTTGTGTTTAAATGAATAATGGAAGAAATGGATAACGACCGTTTCCCGTTTACGTGACTTCAATGACTGCGATGCCGGACTTTTGCGCCGCATACGGGCTGAACCAGGGCTGAACCAGGGCTGAACCAGGGCTGAACCAGGGCTGAACCAGGGCTGAACCAGGGCTGAACCAGGACTGAACCAGGACTGAACCGTTTTCAGTCCTGGTCTGGTTCCCGGTCTCGGTCCCTGGTCTCAGTCTCGGTCTGGTCGCAGTACTGGTTCCTGGTCTCAGTCCTGGTCTCAGTCCTGGTCTCAGTCCTGGTCTCAGTCCTGGTCTCAGTCCTGGTCTCAGTCCTGGTGTCAGTCCCCAGTCTCAGTCCTGGTGTCAGTGTCTCAGTCCTGGTCTCAGTCCTGGTCTCAGTCCTGGTCTCAGTCCTGGTGTCAGTCCCCAGTCTCAGTCCCCGGTCTGGTTGCGGACTCGGTGCCAGTCTCAGTCTCGGTCTGGTCGCGGTCCTGGTTCGCGGTCTCAGTCCTGGTCTCAGTTCCCGGTTTCAGTTCCTGGTCTCAGGCCCCCGTCTGGGTCCCCGGTCTCAGTCGCGGTCTGGGTCCCGGTCTCAGTCGCGGTCTGGGTCCCGGTCTCAGTCGCGGTTTGGGTCTGAGTCCCCCGGTCTGAGTCCCCCGGTCTGAGTCCCCCGGGTCTGAGTCCCCCGGGTCTGAGTCCCCCTGAGTCCCCCGGGTCTGAGTCCCCCGGTCTGAGTCCCCGTCCCCCTGAGTCCCCGTCTGAGTCCCCCGGGTCTGAGTCCCCCGGGTCTGAGTCCCCCGGGTCTGAGTCCCCCGGGTCTGAGTCCCCCGGTCCTGGTTTAGTCCTGGGCCTTGTTTAGTCCTGTGACTGCGATGTAGGACTGAACCAGACCTGAGTCACGTAACCGGAAAACGTCCATTATCCATTTTTTCATTTTGGTTTTGGAGACAAATAATGAAGAAAACCGTTGCTTTTTTGTTTTCTTACTTCTGATTTTATATTGATAAACAAATAAACAAACGATAAACGGATTTCCCAGTCTTACCTTTGCTCAGGTGTAGCCCGCAGCAGGTGCGCGGGTCTCCACTGAACCCAAGAACGAACGCTAAAGATTCCTATCGCGCTTTTAACCTTATTAACATATGAATGCGTGTGGCGAGGGACGCAGCGCAACATTTCAGAGCTTCCTTACTAGGCTAGCTATTTGTTTTGTGTTGTAATTAGGGCAAGTATGTGGGGCTTGCACTGGCGCACGGGCTCTGCTACAGTTTGCATTTTCACTGGTTTGGAGTTGATTGTGGCTTTCTTTAATCACGGCTCGTAACATAAGCATGTTTCTTCTGACTTATTCATGCTTTGGAGTTTTTTTTTCTTCCCATTCTCACTTTATTGAATGTGAAGTGCTCTTAAGGGAGGGTGGAACATGGGAAAAAACAAAACAAAAAAGCATACATATTTATGAGCTGGTGAAAAATGTAGCCATAATGATGTTACAATCAAGAAACCCAAGACTTATTCGAGGTGTTAAGCGAACTTTAACCCCTCCTTTTTGGATAATGGTTAAGCCGGACAACTTAAGTGCGTTTCTTCAACTTTTTACTTGTCTGAATTTCCATTTCTTTTTCACGCTTTGACAGTAAGTACTAACTCCCACCTTCCATCTCGAATCTGAAAGTTGCAATTTGGCTCCGCTCAACGTTTTCGATTTAAAATGCGACAGGTATAGTTAAGTTTAATATAGGCTTAACACTTTAAAATTACAAAGCCTGCTGGAGTTTCTACTGAAGTTGTCAAGTGCCCCGCAAGACTTGAATCCAGAATATTAATCTTAAAAGAAGCACTGCAAAACGTTTATGGTGGAGGCGGCGGCGGCTTGTCTCCATGGCGATGTTATTGCTTTGCCCTGGAATGTTGCACTGTATGGCATTTCCGTACTTACTTACAGTGTATTTATTGCTCAAAAAGATCTCGGAAAAACTTACTGAAAGTCGTACTGTGAGTGGGGTTGCCTCTCCACGGATATGACCTGTAACATGGCCTGGTAGCGCCATCTGCTTAGCGACGTAAAATTTGATCCGTTTAATGCCAGACTGCGGAACATTTCACACTAAACTGCTTGATCGCAATTTCGATTTGTGCGACAAACGATCTCCAAACTCATATAATCGAGTTGAAACGATTTAAAGCTTAGCAAAGTTTATTTTGGGATGTTTTTATATAAATAAGTGTATTTATTTTGTTCTTTAAATATGTAGATTGTAGATTTTGGACACATTTATGTTTTTCTATGCTTTATTTCGTGTTCAAAGTATATTTTATTCATTTTATA